CTACGAACTAATTCCTTCTTCTTGTACTATATCTCTATATGCAATCTTTCTTTTATATATTACCACTTTTGACCTAACCACTGCTGTGAATCCGGTGTTCATCTTGTTGTGCTGATGCATTATGGCAACCTGGACCGATGCACATATGTGCCCGATCCTACGTTGTAGCTGACTGACTGACTGAATTTTAAAGATAGTATTAATAAAGAAAGTGACGAAGGTAGCAGTAGATAAAATCTGTTGGAAGTAAACATACATAATCTGTTTAACTAATAAAATATGTAAACGGTATAAGCAAAGATGGATAGTGCTTCATATCACAAGCATTCTAAACCAAGTTGGATAGTGGCTAGCAGTGGAATCCAGGAGGTATGTGTAGTGAACAAGAACACCAGTGGGGAAAATCGAAGGTATTTGACGCAAAATTACAGAGCATCTCAATAAAATCTGAGAACCATATAGTAAATCGTTAATTTGCAAAATGTCAATCCATCACATCAAACTTGACTGTTCCTGTTGCAAATATCAATCTATTGTCTCAGATTTTATTGTTAATGCGTTTTCATACCAATTGCGTTCCGTTCTTGTTCCAGTTCTTTCCTCATCGAACTTCTACTGAAATACATTCTATTCCTGACCACCGTTATATAATAATTGTGTGGATATAAGTAACCCACACCACACTCGTCCCCCCCTTTAAAGCACTCATTCATGCGGTGGTTCTGCCCGCCGTGCCACTTTCTTCTCTGCAGTCTGTGCCACACTCTCCGTCAAAATGTCGAGTCTGCGGCGCGCTGACCTCCATAGCTCCGTCGACCTGCCGGGGCATCAACATCCTCCCGACACCTGGGACGTTCAACGTCTGCGCTCCAGCGGCCTTCTGAGCCATCCTCACGTCCCACCGCTCCTCTCCGTCGACAGCATCTACAGCCAACGCCGCCCCGTCAGAACGCTCCACTCGACTCCACCTCTCCGCACCAGACTGTACCAACCAGCACCTCAGCTCCAGGCCCGAAACGGCGTCTGCAGAACAGCACCTTTCTCCTCTCCTGGTTGGCAGCGACACCGAATGTAGTGAACAGAACACGAGTGGGGACAATCGAATGTATTTGACACAAAATTACAGGACTTGTTAATAAAATCTAACAATCATATAGTAAATGCTTAATTTGCAAAATGTCCATCAATCGTCTCAAAATGACTCAGACTTCATTCTTCTTGCATTTTCGTACAAATTGAATTCTGTTTCGTTCTTTCTTTATCCATCTGCTGAAATTCATTCTATTCCTGACCACCGTTATATAATACTTGTGTGGATATAAGTAACCCAGACCATAGTAGAACTAAATATGTAATTTTAATAATAATTAACCGAATCTTTAATTTAAAGCTCTTCTTGTCGTCCTCATTTAAAGTCATAAATCTCTCGTATTTTACGATTGAAATCTATTCCGTTATACTTACGAAAATTTCACTCATAACACTGTATTCATTGATATGTGTAAAAAAAAATTAACATTTCTTCCCATTTGCCACGTAGTCCTACATTTTATTCAATGTATTGAACAACCTCCATTAAATCCTAAATCGTTTGTACTGGCCTCTTTAAGCGTTTTTATGTGTATATATATAATCGCTATATTGTTTTGTAGATGTGTAGTACTCAATGAATATTACTGTGTTTATTTCTGTGTATATACGCATACGAGTACAAATGATTTTTTCTCTTAGCTTATTCAATAACTTGCCACAAAATATATTACGTTTGATTACTTGTAAATTACACAGTTGGAGTTGTTTTTCTTTTCTCTTTCTGTTTTAAGGACATGTTGCCTTGGTTCTTTATTTATGGTTCATTGAATGCAGATTATTTTAATTTTTCTCTAATTAATTACACACAATTCAGTAGAATATCTATGCATGTCTTAAATCTAATACATTGTGTATTATTTTCGCTTTCAGAGTGTACTTGCATGTGTTTTTAAAAAATATTATTATATCTCATATCTACCTATACCTTTTATTGTGTGAACTTCTTAAAACAAAACAAATTGCAGTGTGTTGTTAAATAATTTTGTTTCTATTATCTATGAAATGTTTATAAGTGGCCTTTGTTGCTTTAAGTTGTCGATTGAAGTAATTAAAACATGTATGTATACTGAACAAAGGAGAGTATATGTGGATAGTAAAGTCTACATGTGGAACAGTTGAATTTGAGAACTAATATACATCAAATAATAAAATGTGTCACTGCTGCTGATTTTGAGCCATATCACTTAAGTACTTACTTAGATATAGAAAACGTAGTCGACCTTTGGCTACTTATATTAATTTTGTCATTAGGGTGGTTGTGAACCTTCAGTGACTCAGGTATTTAGGACACATACTATATATGTCAAGTCATCCCTACCTCGACGCGTGATGTTGGATGGGATAAGAATAAGTTGGAAGAAAGGTAGAAGTGTATCAAGCAAGACGTAGGATGTCCATGAAATTATTGACTGCTAAACTGATCCATATCTCTAGATGCTGGCCACTGGGTTGCGTCCATGCAATAATCGTGACAGTGGTCAGGATCGATCGTAATGAAGAAAAATACATTCACTGTTTGTCTTCTCTTAAATTTTAATTTTAAAAATTTTATATTCTTCCTCTGGATTCAGGTCTATGCCTGAGGTTTGTTATCGCTGATACTACTCTTACTATTGCTTATTAATGGCATACCGACGTTACACGTGTGATATTTTAAAGATTTTATTTACTTATTTGTTTATTTAAATTTATAAACATTGGTACGAAGTGGTACCAAATATATGCTACATACAAATCCATCAACTTCAAAGTGGGCTGGATACTGCCTAGGTACCCAAACCTAAGTGGATGGTTTTTCTTAGAGGGTCACCCCCTGAGCCTTTGATGTAGAAGTCTGATCCACAAGGCATAGGAGCAGCGCCAAGAGATATGGTTCCATGGTAGCAGGTGACCGAGAATAGGTTCATGCACCACTTGTTCCCTCAGATTCCTGTAGTCCATATGCACGATTGGTTTGGAATCAGGGTTTTCCAACTCCTTCAGGCGGATCCTCTGTAACCATCAACCCGATTTTTACACCGGACATTCGCAATACCGCCGTCGCGAGAAGGTAGTGAATAGGACTTCCCTGGCAGTGGCTATGTATGCATTACCGTATTAGAGTATTTCGACCCTCTGCCATAACAGAGTCTAATTTTAAATATCTTGTTTAGAGATTATGAAGCAGACTGCTGCATCTTTTGCTAGAAACCGACAGACACCTCGCCTGTCTCATGTGACGTGAATTATATATGTACAATATTGGTCAATACTAAGACATGGTTAATCAGATTCTTGATATAAGCAAAATGTTAAATGTAATATCAATGTAAATCAACACTGAATCAGTAATCCATACTCCTTATTCTTCAAAGAAATCCATCCCAAACATCTATGCTTAGCATCCAAGGTTTTAAAGTCTCCCTATTCTATAAACATCAAATAAAACTGCCACCTGTATACTTACGAACAATAAAGGTTTTTAGATTAGATGAAAGTTTCACCATATTTGAAATACGGTCCACTGTTATCATCTGCCACTACCCAATATCAGTGTACAATTTTTTTTATCAATCTACACCTAACTAGCTTTCGCTTATTATCATATTCCAAGCTGCATAACATAAAGTCGTGATCCTCTGTTAGTTCATCTAAAGCTTTCAAGTTTCACTAGTCATTCGCTGATGTTTATTTCACTTTATTAGTAGTGTTTATAGTTTGCTATTGAATCGTTGTCTTACTGATATTGAACTAAATTTTATCTACAAAATAACGTTTTAATAAATTTTTCATTAACCATAATATTCATATTACACTAATGTTAGTGTAGTTCCATATTTTATCATGTTCAATGGTAAAATACAAGTCTTTTTTATTGTGTGATATACTTTATCATACAAAGTTATATTTCAAGTTATCAGTTACTTACCTACTTACTCCTGTTACTCCTTGTGAAGGAACATAAGCCACTCACCAGCATTCTCCATCCAACCCTATCCTGGTCTTAATGTGACCTATAATTTGTTTGTATCATATTTCACTAAGTTCAAAAAGAATAATTTTCTTTCTGTGATAAAATGTAGTAAGTTCAATATATTTTCTTATCTCTTTTCAAGATCTATTTAATTTACTTGTCCAATGATTTGTTCAAGTATTCTTTTAAATCGTTGTTTTTCTTATCAATGGTCATATTTAAAATGAAACAAATTTTGTGAAAACTGTATCTTTTTCTAACTAAATTGAAGAAAATTATTGCTTATATTTTTATTGTATAATTATTAAACTCGTGGACCGTTTTTTTACTCAAATTTTTCTGTGTAGTATATAAACTATTGCTGTATATTTCGTCTTCCTTATTTATTAATTACGTACTTGTTAATCAGTTTCTCTTTCACTTAAGAGGTAGTTATGCACACATTGTAATTCCCCATTAATGTTGTTGTATGGTCTGGAATTCACTGTACATTATTGTATGAGTTTGAATTGTAAAGAAATTATCTGCTCTCTATGCTCTTTTATTACACTGAATGCTGAGGAAGCTACGTCGAGGACACCAACTAGGATTCGCATTATCTCGGTCATAGGAAAAGCTTAACTCTTATCAGTCATAGCTTGTGTGTGCTCAGATCACAATATAAGTTTGGTTTATAGAGAATTGTAGTTTACATTCTGGTTGATAAACCTTGTCAAGTGATACTGACTAAACACGATCGTGACAGCTTATTATTTTAGTGCCGCTTTACATTTTTACTTATATATATCACTTGAGTGTATACCTTACCCCTCTAATGAATACTGAAAATATTTCGCTTAATATACTAGTGAATGATATTATACAGCATGTTTGTTCTCAACGTGTGCAAGATTTCATCATTATATTACATTAGTTTTTGTATGTTGTATGGAACAATGCTTCTTCTTTTTCACAGTATTAACATACGATGAAGGTAATCGTGATGAAGTGGATGCCAATGCTGCGTTAGCGGAACTGGAAAAGATGCCTCATATCGGTGTCACTAAAACTGGACAATCTCGTGGAATATTAGATAAAATTGATGGAATACGGACAAGTACTGATGGTGTTGACGAGAATACCTCAAATGATATTCAACGTAATGATAGTACGTAATTTACATTAAAATTAAGCAATATTATAAAAAGGCCTTTGTAATTTCCACCATTTTTCTGTTCACAGTGTTTTCATTGAGTTTCTTATTTCCACAAACTGTATCATATATCGTTGCTTTTCACATTTAATTCCTTTTGTGCTAATATCAAATGACTATAGAGTGTTGATTCTATGCCCTCGTTGATATCAGATTCGTCTTCAGTGTATATTCACATAAACAGGTTACAGATTGTGGATTGGCTCACTAGATGTAACGTACTCTTTAAGAAATTCATATTAATTTCCAATATCATAGAACATCGTATCGGTAGAATCCTAAGCAACATCCAATCGATCCGTCTCATCTGAACGAAATTCTTTGTCGATATTTCAATATAATTCAATAATAATATTTATATTATTAATTTCTACTTAATGTATTTTCTTTTTAGAATAGTTCATGGTCTAGTTTCCCCCCTACTAATTCTCACGTTAAATAACACCCATCTGGAAGCCTATCTGCGGTAGTTAATTGTTGATGTCTATGCAACATTCCAAATTATTTTAACTAACCACCGGTTACGGTGGCTATGGACAACTTTATTTCGTATGGTCCCACTATTTGTAATTGATTTGCTAATGGAACCATTAACATCCGCGATTCAATATTTTTGTTATCAAGGTGTTCGAGATCAATCACCTCCAGATAAATTCCTGAAGTTTATGAAATTGTGCATCATTTTGTTTCATAATGTCTTTTGTCATTAATACTTGGATTGATCCAAACTTTATACATATATAATGAGAACTGTTATGTCGAATAAACTTATGTTACAGCTTTTCTATGAAGTTAATTTTCTTATGTAGTACAGTAGGAGTCCTTATAGTCCGATTTATTTCAACTTGAGGTTTTCAACTGAATTAGATAAGGCGATATAACAATACGTGAATTTCCGTGTAGTCATTTTGCACATGACTGACTTATGCAATCACTGGTGTATACCAAACTTACAAAACATGTTATTCACTTTCGATAGTTATTTAGTATTTTTTTGTTTATTATTTCTGCTCTCCCTAGTGAAAATAGACTGATTTCATTGTAAGTAGTATGGTTTGTAAATATATTGAGATGGGAATTTAGTATTTAGTAGTACAGTAGATTTATTACCTTAAAATGTTGAAATCTCACTTCTCTAAAATTAATAATCATATATATGAAATTTCTTATCTATTCACCTATAGGACTGAATCAAGTTTGTGAATTGATCATAGACGAAGTAAACATTTTTAAGAGATGCAAAAATTATCATTAGATCGATAAAATACCTCATAATCCTTTAATATCTTTGCAAATAACTATCTGAGCTCTTCTTTACTACTACTACTACTACTGTGAATTTTAGGATGCTGTCAATCATATTACTCTTTTGTCAGCTGATCTAAATCAAAGTGAATTTAGTCATTGATGTTTATGTAAACTACAATGATGTGTTTCCTATATATCGGTTATCTGATTTAGTTTGTTGTTTTGTGAAAGTTAAGTCATCTTTGTGTACAACTTAGTATACGGCTTCAATTGTGTTTGGCATTTTGTCTAATATTTTTTATCGTTCTATCCATTATGTTATATATTTAAAACAATTAGTCCCTTTGATAAATTTCGATAATGCAATGAGAAGACGTAGTTTATCAGAATTATGTGAGTTTCATTTCACTAATTTTATTGGCCTTGGTTTATCGTGTCTTTGCTAGTTATCCTAATGTCAGAGGAGGAAAAAGCTCAATTATTATCATCCGATGCTTTTCTACGCTTTTTTGAACGTTCTTCACGTATAATTGAACGAGCGATTTGTCATCCAGATGAAGGTATCTTTTTGGATTATTCCGGTCAAGATCTTGAAACTGAAGAGTGAGTATTTTTGATCATTTATGTTCGTTATCCTTACTTACTAAGCCTGTTACCTCTCATGGAAGAGCATAGGTCACCCACCAGGATTCTCCATCAAACTCTGTCCTCGGAAGTCCTTTCAAGTTGCTATTCCATTCTCTTGATGCCTGCTTCTAATTCTCGACGCAATGCGCTCTTTGGTCTTCCTCTTTACTTTTACTATTCAGGACTCCAAGTTAATGCTTGCCTCGTGATGCAGTCTGGTGATTCCCAAAATGTATATCCTATCCACCTCCATCGTCTTTTATCTAGTTTCCTCTTCAGCTGGACTTTGGTTCGTTCTTTGATACGGTAGATTGTTGCTGATAGTATCCGGTCAACAGGTATGGAGTATCTTGCTTAGACAACTGTGCAGAAATACTTGTGCTTTTCTGACGGTGGGTGTGATGGTTCTCCAAGTTTCAGCTCCGTACAATAGGACTGTCTTGATGTTCGTATTGAAGATTCCAACTTTGATGTTGATTGACAGTTGTTTTGAGTTCCATATGTTCTTCGACAGTAGGAACCTTGTCCTTGCTTTTCCGATCCCTTCCCTTACGTCTTCATCGGATCCTCCTTGTTCATCGATGATGCCGGCCACGTAGGTACGTGAAAAACTCCACCTCTCCCACAGTTTCTCCATCAAGTGTGATTGGGTTGGTGTTCTCCATGTTGTAGTTGAGGATCTTGGTTTCTCCCTTGTGTATGTTGAGGCGTGCTGCTGCAGAGGCTTCTTCTACACCTGTTGTCTTTGCCTGCATTTATTGCTGTGTATGGGATAGCACAACTGAGTCATATGTTATGTCCAAATCGTCTAGTTGTATCCAATCTGTCCATTGTATTCCATACTCCTCCTGAGATGTGGAGGTCTTCATAATCTAGTCAACCACCAGACGAAAGGGAAACGGTGGGAGTAAACAGCCTTGTCTGACACCGTTTCACACTTAGTATGCATCTGTCCCCCATGCACGACTTTGCATTGTAGTTCATTGTATGAATGTTGACAATCTTCTTCGATACATCATAATGTCGAAGAAGGCCCCATTAGGTTTTCCTATCCACGTTGTAACACGCTTTTTCACAATCAAGGAAGTTGATGTATAGTATCGAGTTTCATTCAATTGACCGTGGAAGTGAACAGGATCGTATCTTTTATTCTAAGTAAAGCGTTTCTTAGAGTGTTAGTTGTATTGTAGAAGGCCTTAATTTAGCATGTTTCCCATGTATGTTGTAATTCTTCCGTCGTACCTTACCGGTAAGGTAAAACCACAGTACCAATCCAAAACGACTTGCAAAGAGGATGAAACGTGCGTTTTGGATTCCACTGCTAGCCACTAGCCGTCTCTGCTTATAATGCTTGTGACCCGAGGCAATACGCATAGTATGCACGTATGCCAATAAGAGACTGATCAATTTCAGTCCTAAACGTCAATGAGGACATTCAGAAAACCAATACAAAAATAAATTTAACGACCTTAGTTTGCAGATCAGTCAGTAGTAACTCGCTGTACGGCTGTTCCTATTACACCTGGCTATATCAAGAAAAGTCATTTTACAGACTTATCCAACTTCCTACCACCTTCAGAGTATACATTTGATACATAGTTTTTCAAACAATCCATTTCTGTACAGACGCACATGATCAGTAACTAGTGCTTTATCATTGTCTTGAAATAACTGATCGTCTAATTATAACTTCTAACAACATGATACAATTATGTCTGTTTTTTGTTTAAAGTTCGGTAACCTCGAAGTTAGGTGTTAGTTCTTGTTGTTTTCTCTCCATTTTTTGATGAAACTTGTAACATTCAATTGGTAATAATTCCCGGACTCAACTCTAGGATGCATGTACATCGTGCTGATAAGTCCCAAATAGGACGAAATGCTCTTCTTGGATTTGGTCGCTAGCCACATTCCGTCCATTCACTTTTTATGGTTTCTTGTTCTGTGTGTTTTAGGCATATGGTGCCTGACAAAGGTTATGAATCAGTTAGTGAGTTAGTGAATATCTTCACCAATTGAGGTGTTTAGGATATGTGTTGCCCATGCTTAACCAGTGGCTACTTCGACAATCGAGGTTTTACTTATTGCTTTTCTTTGGAATCAACGTCCTACGTGCACAGCAGTGCAGAAATACAGTAGAATCTTATCAATCCGTTTGTGTCTCAGTATCGTTTTGTTATTGATTGAAATCAGATTTTAATTCTTATATACTTATTTATCGCTTTTTCTTGTTTTAGGTCTGATGAATTGTTAACTGTATCGAATGAATTTTTTGATGAAAGATGGTCTAAACATCGTACAATCACTGGTTTAGATTGGTCAACTATATTTCCAGAATTATTACTTACAGCATATCATATGAATGAAGAAGCTGTTCATGAACCTGAAGGTGTTTGCTTAATGTGGAATATGAAATATCCAAAGAAATTAACACCGGAATTTATATTTCATTGTCAATCCCCAGTTACATCGGCTAGTTTATCACGTTTCCATCCAAACATTGTAGTTGGTGGTACTTATTCTGGACAGATTGTCTTATGGGATAGTCGGTAGGTTAACTAATTTTTTTCTAAAAAGATACTTTAACTTAATGAAATCTTAAAAATCATGTACAGACGGGTAGTTCAGTGGTTAATGTATCCGAAATTCAACCATTAAGTCTCAAGTTTAAATCGTGTTCTACCTGTTTTAGTTCAATTCAACTTATAGTATCGTGCTAGCCGTCACACTTAAAATGTAACTGAAATACAGGTACACGAATATGTTTCTGGTAATGAGTTGATAAAAGAAAAAAAACCTATATACTACCTAACAAACATGTAACTAAAGCGTGAGATTGTTGTTTATAAGACTAACCTAACATTTTCTTTCCAGTTATTAGGTCAAGAAAAGTAATTTAATGTGACTAGATCAATGAGATTTGTTTTAAAATGTCGTATGTCATCTGTAACTGTCTACCATTTTCAATGTTGTTTATAATTATTTATCAAGTTTAAATTCTTACACCACTTAGTTCAGTAGTCTGGTATTCATTGCACTGGCTATGTTTTATTCCATTGTACTTGTTTTACTCCCAAAGTTGCTTTTGATTTATCATTCTTAGTACTCTTACAACATGTCTCGAACAAATGTCCTAGACTTCATTTCACTCTTCCTTAAACTCATCCTTGCTTAACATACTCAGGTTAATGCGATTACCTCTGTTGATATTTCAATAATGCTCCCAAGAATATGCACTTCACACAATTATAAATATACCCCAGAAGAGGCTAATTTTACATTAGTTTTCTGGAGAAGCATACACCACTCATACTTTTACATTACGCCTGGGTAAGATCACTAGTCCTCACACATAAAGTAACTCGAAGCCGATTGCATGAACCAGTACTTGGTTGTATAAGTTACTTCGTCACATTTATAAACGAGTTTTCTCTCTCTCGAATTATAGAGTCAATAAATGAACACCAGTTCAGCGTAGTCCATTAACATCATGGGCTCATACCCATCCAGTATTTGCAATTACACTAATTGGTATTCAGAATGCCCACAATATTATTAGTTTAGGATCAGATGGCTCATTATGTGCATGGAGTTTAGAAATGTTAGCACAACCACGAGAGAAAAGTAAAGTTTGTGAAATGTCTTCTGGTGGTCTGTTCGATCTTTATCCTACATGTATGTCATTTTTTGCTAATGATGTGAATAATTACGCTGTTGGTGCTGAAAATGGTAATGCTTATTGTGGACAACGGCATAGCAGGTAATAATAAATTAGTATTTATTTATTTATCTTTTTAAATTTAATAATAAATTTCACTGTCCAAGCACATCATAATTATCTACGAATGTTTGAATTATCGTACTTTGAATATTCAGGACTGAATTCCTGTATCCATCCAGTAATCACAATCCATCTATTCCAGAGAGCTTGTGCAAATATATTTTTTGAGACAAGATGCACGTATGTCAATAATGACTGATCAGAATTCAGCCCTGAACATTAACAATCGGATCATTCAAACCCTTATTAAATGTGTGGTGCATATATATTTGGTGCCCTGTTGTACCAATATTTATGTGCTCAAATAAAAATAAACCCAATGCTCAATTTTTTGGAAATTATCAAGTCAAACCTAGGTAATGATACCTACAAATAATGTTAATATCATACCCATTACAGATGCTATATTACACTGACGTATCTTCAAAGTAACTTTCAACTCAACTCTTTCAGATAATTAATTTCCACCAATTTTGCATCTGATAAGAAGCGAAAGAAATAAGATGAATTCATGGTATTCTGCTCCACTCTTTGTTCTTGTTCTGTTCAACAAGATAGAGCGAACTATGTGTATTAACTAATATAGAAGGTTATAAGGTTGACTAGATGACGTGGAGGATTAATTAATTTATGTACGATGCGATGTTGGACTAATTGACATGTTAAAGCGGTACCTCATTGTTTAAGGTTTTTAACTGTCAGTTTAAGTTGCATGCTTGAACTCCGGTCTATCTACTTTAGTTTGAGCAGCCGAGTGGTATCACTAGAATATAGTTATACTAATATTTACTTGGAAAATAAGTTAATTGGTAAAATTGATTTGTCAGTATATGGTTGTGGAGATTGTTGGGTTTCACTGAGACCACAAACCGATCGATGTCAGACCACCATTGGAAAGCTGAGAGTACTGGACTGCCGTTTCGTGTATCCATGATCCCGCACGCGGGATTTGAACCCAGGATGTCAGTTCGGTGATCTAGAGATTAATCGTTTTCACATGAGACCGAAGGTCCTGGGTTCGAGCTCCTCGTGGGAGTCGTGGATGCGCCCTGCTGAGTAGTCCGATACTACGACGAAACGGCCGTCCGGTGCTTTCATTTTTCCAGTGACGATCTAATATTAATCGGTTCATGATCTCGATAAAAATTGATATACATGAATGCAATTAATATAACAGAAAGGTTTGGTAGTTAAAAGTTTCTTTTATGCATAACATGTTTGAAAATTATTAGTTGATATCTGAGTGAGAAATAACATCAGTAGTAGTTACAAAGTGTTAACAAATTAGTTACAGTTATTTGCAATAGTATTAATATATTTGTTATTTATCTTGTCTTGAACAGTAGATATTTCATTTCAATGATCACTATTGTTATACCGTTTTCTTTGATGTTAAAAATCCTGTTTTATTCTGATTTCTTATTCATCCGTTCATTCATTCATTCATTGTTTATGGTTTATTATTTCACACTTTATGCACAGAATGCAGACAATCTACTTATCACACTAATTGAAAAATAAGTTCTTAATTATAATTGTACTTTCAAATGAATTTATACTTATTTCCTTACGCCTGTTACCCCTCGTGGGGGAACATAGGCCGATCACAAGCATTCTCTATCGAACTTTGTCCTAGACAATCCTCTTCAGTTGTTTCCAGTTGCTACTTCTAAATAAATTTATAACTAATTAACTACGTCATTTAACAATAGTGTTTGTTATATATGATTGTTAACTGGTGAACGGAACTTATTGATTATTTGTTTAAATTGTCATTTTAGTGAATAGAATTTATCATAGTGGTTAACTAAATCAATATACTTAATCACATTGATTACTGTCTAATTTTCAATATTCAGCTCATCTGTACATTTCTAAATTTGTATAAGCGCCTGTTTATTTCGTTTGATGTTCAATTCAAACATCTGATATGTAGTGCATACAGACAGACCTCTGTTATATTGCAGATAGACAAATAGACTCAGCATAGACAGTCGAGGTGTATCTACCTTCTTTTATTTACATAGTTTCCATGATGCATATTAAAATTCTTTTAGAATATAAATTCTAAGGATTTCAGGGTTTTTCATTGTTGAATTTTACCTGTTGTTAAAGTATCTACAAGGTAAACATGCATCGTAGAAGTTTAGTTTAGACGTGTAAATTAACAAGTTTAAGTAAGAAGCTTAGTTTATTAAATTCATTATTGACTTTAATGAGTTGTATTCCTTTTTTTCAAAAAAAATATAATTAAACTAATAAAACTTATGAATTCTCTTTAGTCGTACGGGTGTTGCTGAAGAAACTTCACGTCATGTTCCATATAAAGGACATGGTGCACCTCTTACAGCCATCTCTACTCATCCAAGTCCTGGTGCTTTTAGTTTTTCATCGCTGTTTCTTACTGCATCATTAGATTGGACTGTACGTTTATGGTCTACACGTGAACATAAACCTATACATACATTTGATGATTATTCGGATTATGTATATGATGTATGCTGGAGTCCTATACATCCGGCTGTATTTTCCGCTGTTGATGGTACTGGAAATTTAGATATATGGGATATGAATCAAGATGCTGAAGTAATTATTATTATTATTATTATTATTATTATTATTATTATTATTATTATTATTGAAACTTGTGTATTACTGTTGTTATTTTAATAGTGATAATTTCAATTTCACTGTTGAAAATAGCTTGTATGTATTGTATTAACTTTAGTTGATTGGTTTAGGTGATCATTTATACGGAACGTTTGATTGAACCGTCATCCCTTCTACTAATCAGTATGTTTTGAAAAGATTTAACTATTGAATTATAAGCTAACATTTCATTCTACTTGTGAAGAATTTGACATAATCATGTACTTCTGTCAATTGTTTGATGCATTTGGCTTCGAATCATTTCGTATTCTATCTACTTCGGTTTGAACAGTCGAACGATATTATTAGCTTTTGTACAAATGTTAAGGTTGGATTTTTCTATTTCTGGAGATCAATGTCTATACATTTCGCAAGCTGTTATAACGGAACGAATATTAGTGAAGCAGTTTTATATTGAGAACTGTTTTGCGGATTATTAACCCGTACATATGTTCATCAATCGCACTTGTGAATATTTTACTTCATTTCAGCCACAACTTTCGGGGATTATGTTCGGAAGATCCTTCAGTTCCTTCTATGTATTTGCTTCTACAGGTATATTTAATTTCTTAAATATATGTACAGGTGACCTTAGAAGGGTATCGGCTCACTTTTGATTGATTTATGGAACATTTTTTGTTATGCACCAAGAGTAGTTAGGCTGCAAGAAAGCTTCTCTTTGACCCTGCTTTAATCCTTCTGTCAATCCTGCCTGAAATCTTCCCACCTTTGAATGCGAGACGGATGTAGACAGGTTTTCTGTTAACAGTTGTGTTTGGGGACTTCCTGTAATAATTTTTTCTTGACCTTACATTTTCACTAGTAAGTGTTTGTAAATTGAGTTACAGAAATTTAGAACTGAGTTTTCAAATACTTCGCTTTACCTGTATTCGTTTTATTTCATTGCTTTGACTTATTTACTTCATTTCAGATTCCTGTGGCTCGTCGCAAATTAGGATTATCAAGCAATGTAGACACATCTTCATCGTCATCATCTGGTCTAGTTGGTGTTGCTTTAAATAAATGCCGTTGGAATATTGCAGGCACACATGTAGCTGTTGGAGATGATACCGGTCGTGTTACTGTTTGTAATGTTCACGAAAGTCTTTCTCAACCTGCCACTGATGATTGGTCTAGTTTCGCACATGTATTATCTGATCTTAAACACTATGAAATGGAGCCAGAAGTAGAAACAGAAGCATAATCTTGGTTTAAGGCCTGATTTTCTCTATTTTTTTTGTATTTCTGTGAATCATACATACCTCTTCTATGTAACACCAATCAGCTTCAATCTTATTTTAGGTTGTTTTGAGAACTGAAGTTGCATTTGTAAGTTGACATTAACATATTTGGTTTTCATGACAATTAGTAAAGTACTTTAATATAGGGGTTCCGTTTAAAAAATATTTTTAAAAGGCTGTGTTGGGTTTCTTTCTTTTTTTTAGAAAAAACTTCTATGACTTGTATTTTGTTTTATTTTGGTTCTATCTAATTATGTAAGTAGTTTAAGATGACAGTGTGCAATGGAGTTCTCAATTTCTTCACTTTTATTCAAATTTTTGTTATTTGTGATAATGCTCTTAAATTTCATAATATTTTGTCTGGCTCGGTTACTTTTGATGCTTCCTTATAATTATCATAAATATTACTGAATAATAAAAATCGTCTTTAGTTTTCATTCTAGTCTGATATTTTTATTAGATGATTTGTAAATATCTCGTAAAGGTCGTAATTTGTTCAGTAATCTTTTTCCATTTTAGATTTGATAAACTATCACTGGGGGTATTGAAAGAGCATCAAAATAGAGCTGAGAGTATATTCAGAACTTAGTTGGATTGTAGGACATTATTTCAGTTGTGGTTAGCATTCGGTTCTCGACTGCAGTTGTTAGAAATCACTATTACTTTTATGTCTGTCGCAACCTACATTTTGACTTTCCTTTTATCACTCGGTGTTTATACATATATAGTGTTCCGTCTGTCTTTAATACGTGTGTGTAGCTGGACTATGAATTTGTGTACGAATATATAGACATAACCTAGTGCTACCAGAGTTTTGTTATAGTCACATTGTGCCTTTTTCTTTAGACAGATCCAGTGGCATCCAAATAAATTTTCACTTAGCTAGTAGATAAGGAAACTCCGCCTGGAGCTACTGCCGGTTCCGAATCCGGGTAAAGGAGGTGAGTTGGGCATGGAGTTACCGACCTCATTCCGTAGAAAACTAACTCGCTAAAAAACGCTAACCATTAATTTAGGTACACGGAATGCTCGTACAATATATAAGGAGGTAGAAAATACATATTGTTAAGTAATATAGGTCTTAAGCAATTCGCACTCGATGATAACGGAATACAAGGTGATATAATTTGATGAATGCCTAGCCACTTGGGATTCATTGAATTATGGGTTCTGGAGTCAATGTTTATATCCTTTCAAAGCACTCAAATTATGGAATCGCATCATATGGTGATATGATGAAAAGAAAAGTCAATTTTCGATTGATTTGCTCATTATGAGTTTTGTTCAAGATTACTTCTGTTTTGATTCAATGTAATGATTACTCAATGTGGTATTTGTTTTCTTTCCTCGTATGATATTTTATTCCGCAAAACATGATATTCGTGTATTCCATTGACATGAACTATGCTCATTATGTGATTTCTTATAACTCTAAGTATGTTTCATATATGTGATTTCATCCTAAATATTATTCAAAATGGGTGTACAATCAGTATATAAATGAGTGTATTTTCGACTAGAGTCGTCGTCGTCATAGTGTTTTAGGGCTAATAAATCTTCACTTATACCAGTCTTGTGTTCTTACTTTCGCGTCATGGGAATCTCAGAGGTCCAGCGTTCCGAGTATAAGTGATCAGCTCTTTTTCCGGCACAATAATGGTAATTTGTATCTATAGTGATGGTTTATTTTCTAGTACTATACCTACAGGCCTGATCAGAGTTATCCTGGGAGTATCTTACAAGTCTGCTTTTTTTGTAGCCGGGTGGAAATGGGATCATAGTAAAAAAGCCTAATATGAAATATACAAGGATTGCTTATCGAACTTCTTGTTACTTTGTTCAGATAAAACATTGTGGATTATCAAGCAAATCATTGATCTATGGGCTATGAATTTCTCATTTTTTCCAGGTATTAATTCTAGATCCTCCTACTTCACATGATATCTTATATTTGCTTTATAGTTTAACTGCTAGATCATTTGATCCTCAATGACGGTTATTTTTTTTAAGATTGTCTCATTATTGTACATCTCATAATTAGGATAGATTCATGTGTGATTTTGTGCCTACGCGTATCTTTGCATATCGATTATCTTAATGATTGTTTATTCGAATTATTGGCAAGAGCAATTAGAGATTTACGTTTGTTTATGATTAGCAGATGTCAAGTTCACGCTGTTACAATTTGTTTATTGTTATTGTCTTCCTGATCAATGGTACGCGTGAAATATACCCATCTTCAACACTGGCAACATTCGACTTCCAATTTATTCTTATTAACACTATGTAACAACAAGACGAAGATCAATGCTTCGTTGTTATCATAGCTTTCAACGGAATCAGAAGGCTCACTATAGTGTAGTACAAACAGCTGAAGATTCCGTATGCCAAAGTCCTATGAGAAAGTTCAGGGCAGATAAAATACCCCCTATGAGCAGCAAATATTTTTCTTTGCAGGATTCAGCTCAGTCATTAATACACGTTCTTTCAGCCGAATAAAAATAAGTAATATTTATTGATCATCCACTTGGAGGCCAGATTAATAGATATTATAGTGGACCCGCAAAATAAATTATTCAATATGCAAAACAAATAATAGTATGCCAACACAAATATTAAATGGGCCCATTTAAATAAGAATTCGATGGAAAAAAACTTAACAAGTCATGTTAAATGATAAAATAGTAACAATAGTTAGGGAATGAATGCTACGTGTAAGCTCACTCATGGGTAATCACCTCGATTAGATTACAGTTCATTGTCAAATGTTTCTCGAGCACGTTTGGCGTTTACGACGTGAAGTGAAATGTGAATTCAATAGGGTTATTAGGAAATAATTCAGGTCAACAATCTCACGTAATGAAGGGTGACTCAAATGAATACTACAAGACAATCACGACACAGAATATAGGCTTTTTTAGGACTGAAATAACCTATTCGTTGTATTGACCTTGACCGGCTTGCCTCAATGTGATCATTTCATCCGGTGCACATCAGGTCAGTGGCCTGCATGTAAGCTAGCTTAAGTTAATAGCACACTTGTCTTCAGAAGTCCAGAATATTTCAAAAAGCACCAAATGACATGCAATCATGTGTATCATATGTTTTTGTTTAGCTTTCAGTCAAAAAAACCATGTTCCGCTGTTTATTTGTCAGCCTATGACTAGCAAAGAGAGGTTCGTTTAATTCACCCTTTCGACAATGCCCTAAATTCTCTTCATCTACTAAATACCAATACAGAGTCAAGTACTTCTGACAGTATTTCGGCTGACCTAATCGATGCTTCTTGTAGATAATCCTATCTCAAAGGTTCCTAACATGGAGTGCATTAGAAAATGCCTTTAAATTTTTAAACGTTTGTGGATAGCATAATTGCTAAGTGCTGATAACATATTCTCACTACGTTCACGTGCAAATTAAAAAGATCTCTATCGATTGGCGTAAATATTTATTTATTGTCCTCAGGTGCACGTCGCGTGTGAATAGAAAACTCTAAGAAACTGCTATTTTTAATAAACTGTAAGATTGACAAATTATAGTTAACAGCGCATGTTTCATAGCTGTGAGTTCATCCTTCAAGTGACCTTTCGTAGTTGAGTGTGTGCCATAAGGTCATTTGAGATGGCCCAGTCATCCGAGTACAAAACATTTATTGTTCGAGATCCATGGTCTAAGCATTTTTCAATTGTGGTAATAAAACTTGAGATCCACACCGCTATTCTCTTCCTAGTTAAATCAGATACTAAAGGTAGTTCAGTAGGAATCACACAAGAAATCGCCGTAGTTGATGTGAAGAACATGTACTTCAAAATTGCTCCGAGTAGGTGTGTCGTAAATTATTTGCAAGATCATCTCACTCTATCGATGTATTCAGTCTAGCACGTAGGAACGTAATGTTACAGGAGTTTTATTCGGTAAACCGGCGGCAAGGAAGTTAAGGCGCTGAACCATTTATCTCGTTTGATCGCACCTGATGTCAGTATGGCATTAAAAGTGTGGGATAAGAGGTGTTGAGTTGGCCAACGTGTAACTGTGGATCTGATATGTCAGACTATGAAGAGCACCTAACAATGGCCCAAACCTCTATATATGTATCACTATAACCATGTCCTACATGTTAGTATCGTTCAACAATAGATAAGTACAGATGAATTTAAACAAACTGCTGTAAGCCCTACTAGCCCATTGAAGGTCGCCGGCTGTGGGTGTATAATCCACTTATCTGTGCGAGGTTTGCTTGGGTTTCTTCTGGCATTGTTGTTTTTCGCAGACCTGTACTAAGTATGACAGGCGTGGTGAAGCGGTCAGTCCAGTGGTGTACACTTGACATCATATGATTTTGGCAGGGGAGTGGTGCTGAACCAATTATATTGTTTGGCAATGCCAACATTGATTTAAATACTACCAATTATCATGATCCTGCCAGTTTAAGACCTATTTTAAGTCATCTACTCGTTGTATTTGTCACACGAAGATAAAAATCATATGCTGTTTTAATACATATAGCCAGATTTTAAATTTAGATTTGTAGTTCAACAGCTTTCTTTATGCAATGTGAAACAGGAATGTAAACCTACAATGTATCATTCGGAAAAGGCTCAAAACTCAATATGATGCTAGCAGTGTTCAGTGTGCTCTTTTCTTCCTACACTAATCCAAACTATCACTTATTTGTTTCATACGACTTAATGAACTAGATGAGAAAAATGAAACAAATATTTAGGTATTTATATTTGCGGTTTGTTGGATGATCCGTTTTCAAAAAGAACTAAAACGTTTTTCATAGCACTACCTTTATTTTTGGTTATGACGTAAATTAACTTAAATGAAGCTTAGTGAAGGATATGTGTCTTACTGAAGTTAAAATCTATTGTATAGATTTAAGTCTTCAAGTCAGTGATTGAACGTGCACAAAACATGAATATGCCCTAAATTTAAAATATATTTTGCAAATTATACCGAA